AATGTCTGATTTTTTTTCCTGTTTGGCAATTCACGTCATACTATAAAACAGCTGGGCTTATTTCAATTTTGCCTATTCTGTGGAAAATGAACAGATTTTCGCAAAAAAATTGAATGTCGGATTCATTTACAACTTTTCTTTTGAAATAATACAATACAAGATATACCACAATTATTATAAGATTCCTACCCCCAAATGTACCCCTACTTCATTTCTAACAAATTTCAAAATGTGATTTTCATACGTTTTCGTCCCCAAATATATGTCTACACCGAACCATCTCAATTTTTTCAAAACATGTTCTTGGATGGGGTCTCAGAGGTTTCATTTGGAGATTTGCGCCTATGGCTTCCTTAGAGTTGCCGCATTTTGAATCTCAATTTTGACAGTTGAACTCACACATACAGTGAGACTGTCCCCTATTTGTAACCACAGTCTCGAGAGGCCGGCACCAAGGTTACAATACAGCAATTTGTTAGCAAATCTATCAGTTACCACAATAGGAATGTTACCGGATACTGTTAGCAAATCTATCAGTTACCACAATGGGAATGTTACCGGATAATGTTATTAAATTTATCAGTTACCACAATGGGAATGTTACCGGATAATGTTATTAAATTTATCAGTTACCACAATGGTAATGTTACCGGATACTGTTAGCAAATTTATCAGTAAAGTTACCATAATGTTAATGGAATGTAACCGGATACCAGGAGCAAATTTATCAGTTACCACAACTGGAAATGTTACCATATTGGCCTGCTGAGAACAAATTTATCGGATACCACAATAGGAATGTTACCGGATACTGACAGCAAATGTATCAATTACCAAAGCGGGAATGTTACCGGATACTGTGAGCAAATCGGACCACATTAGTAGTTTCAACAATAGAATTTAACGACATACTGTGCATGTACAAAAAAATATGAAATGAACATTTAAAAATGATACTTCCATATCGCGAGGAAATTTATCGTTGCCATCATAGAGGATTACATATTAAAGATAGAATGTATATAACCCTACTACTTAAAAAATGAGACTTTTAAAAACAATTAAGCGGATTTCCTTTATTTACCAGGAAATCTTAATTTGTTGACCTAACTTTCTTTATCATAAAAACGTAAACAACAAAACTATGGTTCCCTTAGAAATATTTTACAAAGTGTTATTTTAAAAAAAAGATACTGAAAGCTAACCTTCAAAATATACGCCCGAAATTCACAACATGTGTAAAATGTAGTTGTAGAGCAGTTTTTATACAACTTGGTGGGTTCTAGATGTTGGCCATTCCAATACAACAGAAGACCCACCATGAGCTTTAAGCAAGGTAATGATACGATGTTGAATTTGCATTGCTGCTTTTGTATGAAGTTATTCGCCTTAATGCAGTGTGCAATCTTTAATCACTTCGAACTTTCGAAGTGCATCGCAGTTTATTTAGGTGGCTTAAGGTTAATTTGCAATTGAAGAATCTGAGATCAACTGAATTTTCATCAAATGTCAGCAATTGGCGACTTCTTGCAGAATATGAACAGAAATAATCTACTATACATGCTATAAAATGTGTAAAATGTTCTCCTACTCAAGTGAATTGCTGTCTTTCGTATACCAGTATCAGAATATATAAAATACTGCTTGTCGGTGAAACGGATTAAAGTTTTCGGATATCAATTCCGAAAGTTGACTTGGAATGAGATCTATCATTGCCATTAGTTTAAACATTTTAAGGTCGCTAGATAGCTAGGTCTGACCAAACTGACTTATTAACAATTAGTGCGGCCCATTTCGAATTAATTCAGATTGATCAAGTACATACCTTGATGTTTCGAAAATTTTCAAGTATGATTTATAATATTTTTAATGATAAACATTTTGCAAACTTTCCCTTTAAAAATATTTCTTAGAACGAACAAACAAAGATAATAACCCAAACATTAAATAAAATAACTGAATAGCTTAAGATTGGTTTCACGTGAAATCTACACTATTTCTAGCTTTTAACTGATGTAACAGGTTCGCCAGGTGTCTACATATCATCCTTTTTGTTGCCGAGAATATCGTAATGTGGCGATAACATCTTATACCAATTTACCTTGAGTAGGTTTTTAAAGAGATACCTTCGTGGTTTCGTTTAGTAATTTCAATAGAGTTAATTTACCCTTAGCATTTTTCAGAATGAAACGCTGCATCAGTGACTATAATCATATCTTTCAAACCTCTGTTGTCATTCCCTTAAGCAAAATTATTCAAGTTTATTATATTGCTTGTGAGTCCGATGTTGGGTTTTCGTTCTGAAAAGTGTTATTGGTAGCAAGAATTACGTTCTTTCAGATGATAATGCAACGACTCAATTATAGATCTGAGTAGACTAGGTTGTGGTTAAACCACGATCAGTCGAACTTTGACCTAATGCTCACTGTATAAATTTGCTCCCAGTTCAAATCGATTGCTGCCTTTTAAGAGTGAAATGTTGTTAATGCTAAACAGAAACATGAACTAAAGAAAACCGCCATTATTACAAGGAAAACATCGTAGGTTCACGAGGAGGATCGTTTCTACTACCTGATCAAACCCTTTGGCATTGATCTTTCTCGGATACTCTATAGTCTTATTCAAGAACACCAGACTTTAACACGCCGTCCGAAATTAGAACCTACTACATTAATTGTTCCAAGTAAACGTGGGGATGGCTATAACTGATTGTACATCAGCTCGTTCCAAACTTTGGCCAATTGACAAAAATAGCAAATAAACCATCATAATATTTTTTTGCAGAGAAATTTAACGAATGTCTGTTTTTTCTGAAATAACTTTACTTATGTTTGTGTTCACAAACAGTGCCAATAATGGTTTTGTTATGCGTTCTTTGACCTCTGTTGAAGATGCAAAACGTTGTTTATTAACTCTTTAACGCTCATTAGCAACTTTATACACTCTCTTAAAACACTGACAAACAAAAGGTTATTACAATAAATCATAGTTAAATACATATGATAGAGTTGTTTTGTAACCTTTCTGTGAAGATCAACGTCTAAGAAACGGTTACAATAATCATGGCAAACCCAGACACAATATCTATCTTTGTTTCATAACATTCATTATAAAATATGGCGTTTATACGGGGGGAGGCGGGAAGAGGCTGGCAACCCTACTTTCAAATTTTCTATCATTTAACTTAGAGAAGAATGGCCTGTGGCTCCCCGGAAGCAGTTTTTGGTCCCATCTTGCCCCAAAAACTCAACTAAAGATTCCTAGAGACGCCACAGGACCATAGATAAGTCGGCCCCTGGAGTTTTATACGCTCGATTATCCTTCGTAGATTATACTGCCCTGACGAAGTTGAAGGGTTTTGAGAGAAAATCGCTTGTTTAACCAATTTTTTTTTGTTTACCATTGTAATATTATGGTAATTTGTTTTTTTTAAATCTAAGTTTAGATCTGATGTTCAAGATTCAAGTAAAGTATTCAGAAACTCAAGTCTTCTGAGATATCGATATTAGTTCTTCAATTGCGAGTATACCACCAACTCCCGCCCCCTCTCTTCCATCTCAAAACAAGACAACATCCGACAATATTCGGTCAGCGTGCCATCCCTGCGTACATACCACATAGCTATTAATTTGAATCAAAATTAAAATCTGTTATATCACTAATTATTTTAACAGAGTAACCATAACGAAACAACCAAGCGATATACCTGCTAAATAGATTTACCTGACGACAAATTCATCTGAAAGGGTATAAAGTGGTTATTTTAGACTAAAAAACAACTCATTTGATATACTCATTATCCTATTAAATCAGTTTTTCATTCAAAATCACTAGTAATGGACATATTTTCACCCCGTGCTGTCACGTACACAGTGAAAGAGTTTTTGGCGAATTCACAATCGTTTCCAGACTTTTATTTCTGTGGAATACTCCGTTCGTAATTCACGATCTGAAGAAATTGTTCTTTAAATCGTGTTCAGTCGACCTTTACGCTTACCAATCAGAAATACTGATATGTCAATCATCAATGGACAATTATGAAAATCCCAGATTTCCTTACAATTGCTGGAAAAGCTTTTTATTCGTTTGCAAATTGAAGTCGCTTCTTATAAGAAGAATGCGCTTATTTAGATGCATTTTAATGAATTCCTCTGACATATCGACAGACAATAAGAAAAGAACAACCCATTCCTGAAATATGAATAGAGGCCTTCGATGTTATCATAAAAAAACCATGTTTTATAACTTAAACGAAATTAAGTGAATTGGGCGTGTGTCTTTAAGAGTAGACAGAAAGAGAAGGCGGGTAAGTATAATTATTTCAACCTGGTACAAACACCGGTTGTATAAGAAAGTTTTGTGTATATAAGAAATGCCATAATATATTTAAACCAAGACTATTGTTTTGTCATGCAGTCTTAGTGGGATGGTTACATTCCAAAAATCGTTATGCAGGAATTCCTCCGTAGATTTACACACCGGTTTCTGCTGATTGATAGGTAGACTTACCGCGGTTTTCTGACGTATGGCACCATTTCAAAGAAGGAATCGTTCGTTCCTGCAAGTGTTATTGTGCTGAATGGCTTTAGTATCCCGCTGATCATTTGGGTGTTTTGTCACAAATATGAAAGACTGCTAATAGTGTTATCAATTGGAATTCGGGATTAATGATCATTGACTGAAATTTGAATCCATGACGCTTTTTGAAGTTGTTGAATACTGAATTGGCCAGTGTTAAGCTGATGAAAATTTTACTGGATATTGGTATCGAATTAAAATCAGAGGGATCTACGTGATAAAGCTTTAAGTGAATCGTGTAAATTGTTCATGCTCTATGGTTTCCAATTAGGATATATCTTCAAGTGTTCAGGTGTGAAGCTACCTAAAGAGATTTCCATTGTATTTATGATAATACCAATGGTAATAGGTGGTGATAGTTTTTTCTTAACAAATATCATTGTTGTCTCTCGACCCTTTAACCGAAAAATACATTTCATTTTGCCGTGCAAGATTTCATAACATCTTCATTTCAACGCAACGACCTCTTTTTACCAGATTATCCACCGTGTGCCAAACTATCTATTCAAGTTCGTGCTTCTTTGATACTTTGGTTGATAAAGTTAAAATAATGCTCAATTTAAATTGTGAAACCATGTTAAATGTGTGTGTTGCGTTGCTGGTTTTTCTTGCGGCAACTGTTGATGGCTTGCGAGAAGGTCAAATACGTCTGGTCGGAGGTAAAAACGATAATGACGGAACCGTAGTGATTTATCATAATAGAAAATGGGGATCAATATGTGACGATGAATGGGACATGAGAGATGCTAGGGTGACGTGTCAACAACTTGGATTTCCCGGTGCTAAGAAAGCTGCTCGGAGGAGTGAGTTTGGGCGAGGACGACGTAAGTAATTTCTATTTGTTTGATATAGGCCTATTAAGTTGTAATCAAAACATAATTATGGAATTTCAACTTTTTCCATATTTGCAGGAAACAATGTGATAATTGATATTTCAAATTATCATGTATATTTGAAATAATACTAGACATGGATGGCGTTTATCGAGCCAGATTTATGATAAAAACGTTACATATATTTTGGAGGTCAAATGTTTGCATAGGGTTCGACAGAATTAATTTTTTCAGGAGGACAACCAATTTTTTCGGGTGGCGAAAGGGGGGAGGGGGGAGGGGTGTATTGAGCTCCTGTAGTGTGATAATAATCGATATACAATCAGGCTAGGAAGACGAATATTTGACGATGAGATATTTTATAGAGTAACCCTACAACAATAAACTGCCTACTTAGTTGTACCAAAACATTACAGTTTTCCCAGTGTACAATAGTTATCGGCCAAAATCTAAGTAATTACCAAAATATTTCTGAGAGTATGTCAAATTACCTAAGTTGCAATCTTTTTAAAATGGAATTTGGTCATGTTGACATGATATAATTATATTGTAATAAAGCGGGGGCGTTATGACTCTTTACACTGGTTTATTCGGTCTTTCACCCATATTTTTTTTATGATATTTTTGATATATTTGGCATTAAATAAAGCTACCAAACTGGGCAAGGAATTGCTAAACGTTTCAAGGTGTTAAGGTAGGTGGTTCGGTAAATATTTGTCCTGAAAGTATATCCTGCAGCTCTATTCTACCGCGTTAATATGTGTTAATATTTTCCACTCTCATAAGACAATTGGGAAATGCACCTATTTCTTTGAAGATGATTGCAGTCATAATTTGGATTAAGGTGTTTGGATCTTAAAACTAGTTCTTAAAACCCAATCCTATTTCAACGAATTACTTAAAGGGACACTATCATTTTTTTACCAATCCAACTTATTAACCACTCAGTAATAGTGTTCACTGCTTACTGTAGAAATTTGAGCCTTCAAATCCATGTGTGTCCAGAATTTTCCGTGGTTGAATGCTACAATGTCGACTCGTCATTTTAAGATACTCTGTGATATACAGAAAAGACTTATATAGAAATAAGTATTTTTTATATTAATTATGCGATTTTCTTACACTTCTAGTGCTGCTGAAGACTATTTACATATATTAAACACTTAAATCAACTTCCAAAAATGGCAAAACTGTCCCTTTAAAAGATAACAACAAATGTGCACATTGGCCGAATAAATCATCCATAGTTTGGCATTCGAATACTGTTCATACCACCGTTTAACATGAGGAACTCTCTAATAAATATGCCAAATTACAATACGAGTCCATGGACTCTCCACAAGGGATGCCTGTTGCAGAGAGACATTTGGTATTCTGAACGAACGAACTTTCTGAAGACATCTTCCACAGTACAGAGCTCAATTAAATGTTCAATGCGTTACACATGGGTACAATCTTGTGTTTCTACGATATATAAATCATCAGCAGCACGATCAACTTGTTCAAATAAAAGTACAAACTTAAAATGCATCATCATATTATCACGATTGTGATATTAAAAGCAGCCCCCTAAACTTTAGGCTCTTGGCAACTGTAACATATTGTGGTATTGAACAGGGATGGGAAGCAAGTTTTGCAAACATCATGAAAATAGAATGAACATAGAGCAATCGAGAAATTATGCCAAAGATTTGGGTGTGTAAGGGAAACTATTTAATAGTTATCACAAAGTGCATTTTTGAGAGTATTGAGTGCATTCCTGCACGTATGCCAACGAAAAGACTGCTTCGAAAACTTAGTAGTCTTAATGCCCCAAATGAAAATGCACAAAGTTCATGTCATTCCAGATAATCCCAGACATGGTTTGCGCAAATACCTAAACATAACAATACTCAAATGATAAGCCAGAGGGGGGTGGGGTAGTTGAGTTGGACGCTTACAATTAATTAGGCCCGTCGCATCAGTTTATTAGCTAACTAAGTGTACACTGAGCACAAATAATGCATGATAGAATATCCTACCACATATCATTAAATGTAACGTTCGTGATAAAAGAAGCATTAAAACGATACATTAAGAAGAGATTATATGAATTCCAATCTCCAGAAAGAACTATATTGCTATAGTATAATGATTATTACTCAAGAATGTTGATTTGTACATGTTTTCGTTCACATATTTCCGCAAACACAAAATAATTTGAGACAGGAAAATAATAATAGTAGTGTGGTTTATATTATAATATTTCAACAGAAAATACAATACTTGTGTTAATTCATGAATGAAATATTTAGTATTCATTCTGATAGAAATAGGAAAGATTCACTTCGGTTATTTGCGAAATGACTGCCAAATATAATTTAAAATGCCAAAATCTACTAAATATATTTGAAGGGTTTGTGAGGATATGTCTGGTACATGTATTTCGTGGTAACAAGCACTTCCTGTAGACGCGAAAGAACGTGAATCACCCGACGATTATCGTACACTCTACTCCTTGGTAATTCTCTTGCAGGCTGTCCAGGTATCCTCGGTATTGCTCAATCGGGATGGTAATCGTACATGTAATGTCTACTAATGTTCTATATTTCATCTAACTTCCAGGACGGATGTGGATGTCTCGAGTGCGATGTAGTGGATTTGAGAGTCAGCTACGTTATTGTATGTTCTTTGGATGGGGACGTATTCGTCATCGTTGTCGTGGTGGTTGGCGTTCAGCAGGGGTAGTGTGTCTACCAAAGAAGAACCCGGTGACAACTACACGAAAACCAAAAACAACACCAAAACCAACAACGACCACAAAACCTACCACAACCAGACCGACAACCAAGCCAACAAGGCCAACAACAACCAGAGCACTCTGGACAGTATGGGGTCCAGCTCCCATAAAGCCAGTAAAGTCAGATAAAACACCCGAAGAGATGCTTCTTGATGATACAGAACATATCGCTAGAATGTCCAAGGAAGAGAAGCCTATGAGAGATTTCGCTGTTCAGTCTGATCAAGCTGCTCCAGTAGCAGATGAAGATGGTGAAAATCAAGAAGTGACTGAAGAAGAAGAAGGCATTAACGGCACTCAAAATGAAGAGGGTACGGATGGAACACCTATTTATTCCACTACTCCGACGCCAGCTACGACAACTGAAGCTCTCCATAACAGTGTAAGTTCAAATTGGTTATTAATATCATTAAAAAAGGGAACTCGGGTTGAACATATAAATTGATTAAACCCTTTTCATTAAATTCCACTTATCATAAATTACGAAACTTGCAAAGGTTTTTGAAGGAATTTAAAAGTGTCATCATGCGAGGATCCTGCAGGTACAACCAAAAGGACGCATACGTTCACTCCTCATGCGTTACGCTTATTCTATATCCCGAGATCACATCGTTCCTAATCCAGTCTAATTACAATATTAGACCAAATTTTGGTCCTTTTTTTTTAATACAGCTACTTTTGTTAGGGTCTTAGACAGCCCTCTTGAACGTTCGGCAATTTAACCTTTTGACCTAACCCGATCAATCAAATTCCTACTCTCTCCAGCGCTTGAAGTTTGATTCCTAATCGTAATTGAATGTCACCATCCATTATCTTTAGGGTGTCCAAATAAGGATACGAGGTGGAAGATATTTCTGGGAAGGCAGACTGGAGGTGAAAAGGAACCCCGAGGAAACTGCGTGGGGAACAGTGTGTGGTAAAGTCTGGAGTATACGAGAAACAATGGTGGCTTGTAGAGAATTAGGACTAGATTTTGGAAAGCAAGCATTACAGGTAAGTCCTCATCAGGATATCTGACGATCTAAATACAAAAAACACAGCTCAATACTTTGTTTGGTTTGTCTTGGCAGGTTACTTCACCCCAACCTTCTTATTAAAGCAGCGTTTCATAACCTTAATCAAATCTCCTAACATTTACAATTAAGGCAAAGGCGGAAGGAAGGGTTTGTCTTGGATGGTCCTGTAATTTCAATTACAATGAAGGTGGTTTTACTTTTATGAATACAATATTTGGTTGTTTTGAATTTTTATTCCATACCACATAAAACTTATAGTTAAATTTTGCATTCTCTGTTGTTTAGGTGAATTATTTTGGGGGACAGAATATGGATAAGATATATAATGAAGTAAAGTGTACGGGGAGAGAATCCCGACTAGATGAATGTTTTAGAGTTGAAACAGCTGATAGTGTAAGCTGTGCTGGTAAACATCTGGTAGCTGGTATAGTTTGTTCAAAATGTAAGTATATTGTCGGATCACCACTTGATTACAGGGATCAGACAGAGCAAAAACAAAATTTCAATCCGTTTTCCCACGTGAGAGTAGTGATCTTGAACAGAATCATATCAGACCTCTGATAATAAAACGAGATTTTTCAATTAATTGGTAGTTCTTCTGATGAACGTAAAGGAAGCCAAATTCTCTGGAGATTTCCTCCGAAAACAGTTTCCGAAAATCAATACTGGGGAAAATGGAACTTTAAGTGGTACGGGGTGAGCACGGGTTACAGGAGCCAACCACAGTATCTGAGGTTTGGCTTAACAACAGCTATGGTCATGAACCTTAATATCACAAGTCAAACATTCATCGTTATTTTTAAACTGAATCACAACAGAAAATGCTCCAGCTTCTTCTAGCTTCACCTAAAGAACGTTTAGGTTGAAATCTGCGATGTAATACCCCACAATAAACCCTCAATCACCATCGGTACAGACAAACAAACTAAAATAAAGAAACTAAGCTGCATATGAGTTGTGACGCCCAAACTTATTATTAGTTTATTTAATGTAAGTCTCACTTAAAGATAATAAAAATATAACTCTTTACTTCGTCGATATCCTAACGAGTGGTCGGCCATTACATTCTTACATAACCACCGTGCTTTAAACATTATTTAGATGTTATTTAACCATAGTAAATGCTCGCTTAATCTACTCAATACACCTTTCCATTGATAGCCTTGGTACTCGTTATCAACTAGATTTTGTGAAAACGACTCGACCCTGGTGGGACTCGAACCCACAGTCTTCGGCTCCGGAGGCCGACGCCTTATCCATTAGGCCACAGGGCCCACGCCCATGTGTTGTTTGAATAACCAGTTATCTATCTGGGGTCTAAAAATAGAACTATATACACCAGTTAGGTGTGCTCGAGTAGCGCGCCGTTATTGAATTGCTGTGACTATAAATAGAATCCTTACTCGGCCATTAGGTTAACGCTATAATAGTCGGTTGACATGAAATTGGATTTAAATCGGTCAATAATTGATTAACAGACTAAATCTGGAACTGAAATTCATCATTAGTGAAATTTTTGCTCCTAATTTTTCGGGTTAGATAGGGTATACCCTAAATGTTATACCTAGAGGTTTATTCCACGTAGAATAAAATGCTGTATATTTGGAATTCAAACCGCTGTTATTTATGTTACTTGTATCTTTTTAGTTTTGCCAGATTTAATACCAAGCTTACATAGGTTAGAAGAATCTATTCTGCTTCAAGATAGACCTTTATATTACCTACAATGTGCTCTAGAGGAAAACTGCCTTTCAAGCTCTGCCACCACCATCAGAAATAGCAGCAAAAGTAAGTGAGGAATGAACCTGTTAATGCGACTAAGTTGACCAATCCGTTGTTGCTCTTTCATTCTCGGGCCATTGGGAAGAATCGGCGTCTCATAAAAATTTGTGTTGATTTTATACAATGTCCAAGGTTGACCTAATCCTGACTAGACCTGTTGGTCCTGAATCCCAATGAGCATCAATTATCAAAGGGAGTCTGCTTTAAGAATGACAAATATTTCGAAATAAAGCTAGAAAATGGACCTCCACATCCACCTAAATTAATCAAATATATGGACCAGCCCTATTTGATAGATGTTATGGATTTTTTTAGATTGGATGGGTGCATCACGTCGTTTACTCAAATTTTCTACAGTTGTACACAATCGTGGTGTGGCAGATTTTAGACCATATAGAGCCAAAGGACAATGGGAATGGCATCAATGTCACATGTAAGTCCTTTTCTGTGATGCCTTTTGACTATTTATGAGCGTGTGGCCCATCTGCTCATCTGGCTTACTGGTTGGCCGAAAGTGTTAATCCCTGGTTCCCAACACTTTGGACTCTTAGGATCCAATGTTCAAACAACCCGGGTACCCACTCAAAACCATAGTACATAGATGCTTTGTTTAAACGTGACCTTTAATGTTACGTCTTAGTAATTCGTTACCCCCTTTTTGGCGCTCCGTTAAGAAAAGTGGCATAGCAGTCTCTGCACAGAGATGAACGACTGAGAAGCGCATGCAATAGAGATGAATGTACTATAGAGAAAGTCATCCATTAGTTGAAGGTATTTGATGGGAACTGAGATAACGTATATTTAGAATCATTCCCACTGTTTTATATCGGTATATATGCCAAGAAAAATACTGTCATGTTCCTTGTTTATCTTTCATTAACGATTCACAACCGACAAAAACAACAATATATAATTATGTTGAATAACAATGTTAATTGAATACCTCCGTGAAAATAAGTTAATTCAATTCCCAAAAGAATGTTTGACGTAAGAGCAAAGATGCTGTTGTTTTAAATTCCGAACACAAATTAAAAGTACATCTTCAAGTACAGCCAAACTTGTATTGAGCAAAATTACATATAGAGCTCTTGTTTAGTAGTAATTCGTTGATACACCATTGGTGCTCGAGAGAACCATGCAAAAAGGTTTACTTTTCAATAATCAGCATTGAGCTGCCGATTGGATACTAGTAACACTTTGGGTACCATTAAACACCACACGGGTACCCCACAAACCATTTAAAAGTTTTTAACAATCAGCAATGAGCTGTAGATTGGGTACTAGTAACCGTTTGGGGTACCACCAGCACCACATAAGGTACCCAAGAAATCATTACAAAATGTTTTTTCTAATAATCAGACATGCGCTGTCGATGAAGTTCAGTCATGATCTGTTGATTGGGTACCAGAAACCAGTCCTCAAAGGCCTAATTAATTGGTTGCTTTATTGTTGATTGCAGGCATTATCACAGTATGGAAGTGTTCGCTCATTATGATATTATAGATGAGCATGGTAATAGGTTAGCTGAAGGTAGTAAAGCTAGCTTTTGTTTAGAAGATTCACGATGTGAAAATGGGATAACACCGAAATATGATTGTACTGGATTCGGTGACCAAGGTAGGCTACACGGGTGATTCATGGTTGGGATAAGGTCTCGCCACTGTGGTTTGTGAACAGCAATTATAAGTATACATATCAATTCAGGAACATCTCCAAAGTAGCTGAATTGATGAAGAAACGAAAATTTGCCTGGAAAATAAATTTGAGACAGCAGCACAATTTCTAGAGCGCGAAATCGCCCGTGTTTTATCATGAATAAAGATATCATCGGGTCAACGTTCACAAAAAAAATCACCTACCTAAAATGGCGTGTAATCCAATCGATAGTGTTCCCTGCTGCTGATGCTCTGCATATACTCTATTGGCAAACTTGCACATGGTGCCTTTTCGCTTTGCAGAGAGTTTCTAGCCTAGAATATAAAATAAGAACGATTTTGTATGTATTCTAAAAGATGCTTATAAGGGCAACACCCTCAATCAGAAACAAAACACATGTTCATCTCTCGTAAAAAATATACTTATACTTCAGGTTTCAGAATTCAGTGTCCTGTTTTTATTCCTTAGCTTGATTTCGTACCTTAAACTTTCCTTTAAAAAACTTCATGTTTCTGAGATCAACGTCCGAAAGAAGCATGCTTTCTTCCCTTAAACAAACCTTGTTTCTGAGAATAAGGACCTGTCTATGTTCCGCAAAAGGATCAACGGAAGCATGCTCTCCTCCCATAAACAGACCTATGCACAATACTTGGTCTTTCTTTTTCAGGTTTATCGGTAAACTGTTCTGATAACTATATGAATGACATTGATTGTCAATGGATAGATATTACAGATATCCCCGTGGGAAAATATATATTTAAGGTTAGTTGAAATGGGTTGAGAGTTGTCTATTTGGCGCGTTTGGCCCAAACGAAAATGGCTAGCAGATTGTGGCATAACAGCATTGGAGAACCATTGATCTCAAGATCTTGGACTTCTTCGCTAGATTTTGCAAGAGACACATCAGAAAGCATCACAAAATGTATAAACTTCCTCTGAAAACATGGCAGGGTCATGAAATGCCTCGGAACTTGTTTACTATCCCTATGGATGGCAAACTTAGAGCTAAGACAAGACTTCCAACGTAAGGGGACAAAAAAGGACTTATTTCATGATCATTTTGATGTTATCAGGAGAGAATGGGTGATGGTGGACATCATGCAAAGAACACTTGGTCATCTTGCATTGCGTACAATCACTAATAAACATTTTGTACTTTGTATATTGTAGATGGAAGTAAATCCAAAACTTCTAGTGGCAGAGTTAGATTATGATAATAACGTAGCCGTTTGCGATTTGACATATACGATGTATAACGCATTTCTTCAAAATTGCCGATACGAGAGTTTATTGTGATAATTCGATTAATATTACCTATTAAGTTACAGAAAATAAGAATTGATTAGCCTTGGTAAAGCCTCCGATAGACCGTTTCATGGCTATGCGTTCTTTGAGGCGGCAGAACGTAATGAGTATGCAAGAGTACCAATTTTCACGATAATTTCACAATTTCAAATCATCCCACAATTTTAGAATCATTTATCCCTTTCAGTGTTATAATATGAACACCAGCAGGTATACAAATTATTGCTCAAATTTTTATAACGGGATGTAGGAACTAAATTTCCGGTGAGTATGCCTAACCATGGAACGGCCTGTTTGTAATTCGAAGTTTGCACTTTGAACCAAACGTGAAGCATATACGTCATGTAGGCATTGTTGTATTGACTTTGTTGTATTAGATATGCATAATATACGGATACTAGAAACACGTATATTCAATTCAAAACTGTAGGTCCTACATATAATATTATATACCGTATTATAAACACATCGATGTTAGATGAGCTTTCTCAGTATTGAGAACAATTTGTTTTAATAGGGAAATAACTCTACAGTGTAATCATCTTTTGTATATCTGTTTAAGACAATAAATAACCCGATAATTAAAGATTGTACTTTTTAAAATCACAATGCTCAGTAATTTAAGCCCACCAATACCCCAGTCTTGTGTATGAATCATCCCGTCTTCATTAGCCCACATGGTGCCGAAAAGTAGGGCGTAACACTCTATTCAGTTCATTTCATTTGTGTATGAAGACATGAAAGGTGCAATGTGTGGATCTCTAGATTGAAAGGAGAAGTACCGCTATGTATATTATATGACATAAAAACTTAATATGTTTCAATTTATTTTTTCAATTGTCCCTTTGAAGCATCTTTCTGGCAAGCGAACAAACGGAAGCCTACTGAGAACATCTATGAATTTAAGACTTTTCTGTTGCACTTCAAGGGAAGTAACTCTTACTCAATTTCAAAAACGGTTGGTCAATTTTTATCATTGTGGTTTACTGATATACAATACAAACACATGTAGATAAACATCATATTGGGTGATAGCAAGCGGATATTTTGGGTAGTAACAAATTTTGAAAGTATGACAGAATATTCAACTCTGGACATCTCGTACACAAATTTTTTCTCCGATATTGAGTATTGGAATTGACTTTAGAATTTAATAGTTTAAATTAACAAATGTTTAAATAGAAATTGTCCATTGCACGCAATTGGTCTAATAATTAAGATTTTATAACTATATCTTTTTTTATTTCGACTTTTTGAGACAACGTAAGTCTCTCCACGAAACGATTGTTACAAAAATTGATCGAGTAAAATTCTGAACACAATGCGGTCCGAGAATTCAGCTCGACATTGCTCTGTTGAAGGATGATCAACAAACCAGAGCGATATGATAAAACATTCACTAAAATGTATGACATGTACTCACGATCATGATGTCCGAAAAACACGTCCGAAACTCTGTCATTTCAATGGTAGATCTTTCAAGATATATTCTGAATTTATGAACATTACTATGCTTCGTTCTTCGTTCAATAAACGTAACTGTACTATGGTTTTGCTAACTGAACTCGGTTTAAAGAATAGATTGACTTTAAAGGCAAAATTAAAACATGAGCGAAATCAATGAACACGATTATTCAATTATTTTTATAAATTGGTATTACCTCGTCGCGCGATGAGCTAATTATGTTTGTCATATATCGTGGTGGTTATGTGGTCAAGAACGCGTTCGTGGTAAACGATTGATCGCCTTATTCCAATTAACAAGTTTGGGGTCAGACAGTTTTCCTTTACGTAAAGTGAATAATAACATAAAACTACCACAAATCTCCAAAACACGACAACAGGAGAACGTGCACCAAAAATAGAATTCATCAAAATCTCCTCAAATTACAAGACGTCAATAAAACGGAAGTGATCGAATTCTATAAAACAATTGGTTGTTTCGGACTAAGATATTCAAATTCAATCTACGATGCTCTAAACGAACAGACCCTATGTTAAGAAGGAATATGGCGGTTAAGAATCGATTTTTCGATTCGAATACATAAAGTTTTGTACAGATAATTTTAGCCTGAATGTAATCGTGGTCAAAATAAGGTATGACTTTTATTTCAGTATTTCAGTAAACGTTTATCAAAAAAATTAAAAGTTACGGAATAAAGACTGTCACGGACTTGATATTGACACGTCAACAAGCACATGTTTTTATTGAGCATCTTTTCTCCCTGATACAACAAAGTGTTTTCTTAATAGAATTTCATCTTCGAGCCCACTTGACTGTTATAGAAATATGAAGTTTTAAGATTAAAATTTGAAATTACACGTCCCTCATAGAAATTACACAGAAAAATGTATAAAATTTTGAGGGAAATTGTCATTGTCTTTCAAACTATAAGTTTACGATTTATTTACTATTTAAATTAAAATTTTACACAGTTATACCTGAATAAATATTCAGCTCCGTTACTGACGACAGTAGCTTGTTTAAACTGAAATTATAGTGCAAAATAGGGTCCTTTGTAGCTGTATCTACACATTTTCTTATTTTAGTACCCCGTAACCAATCATTCGACGCCATGGTGAAGGTTTTAAGTGTTTTGGTGTTAGTTTTTAGTTTTGTACAGGTAAATCTATCTTTGCACATTATTTTGAACACCTGAAAACAACCAACCCCGCCTCCAACCACACCCTCCCATAAAGCAGAGCTTTACGATTTTGAAAGTAGGATTTTGGGATCCATTTAAGCAGCTTAAAGTGTTCGGAGACTGCTCAAAGCGGCGTTTGAAAACTGTCATGTTGTAGTAGTCTCTCTTAGTAGTAGCTTCTAAAAGTGATGTTTTCAGGAGCTACACGCTAACCCTATATCTTAATCTTGTTACTGTATAGTTTATGAATTAGAATTCCTATTAATTTCAGTCATGTTGTCAAGTTTCTCCTATAGAACCAGAAGTTATTGGAGATTGTAAGTATATTTTGGAGGTTTTGTTAATTTCGGTTTATAAAAGGTCATTCGGTGTTTAAAGTATCGTAATACCGAATTTCAAATTATTGTGGTCAAAGACAGTAAAGTATTGCCTTGAAAGACAACAATTTTTATCACTGTTTATGCTGCACAAATAATTGACTAACTTATACAGTGTGGTCAAATGGAATGTATAATGTTTTGTCAACTTTAGTAACTATACATTGTGGTCAAGTCGTATTTGTAATATTTTATATATTACAGTAACTATACAGTGTGGTCAAGTGGAATGTATAATGTTTTGTCAATTTTAGTAACTATACATTGTGGTTAAGTGGTATTTGTAATGTTTTTCATATTTCAGTAACTATACATTGTGGTTAAGTGGTATTTGTAATATTTTGTATATTTCAGTAACTATACATTGTGGTTAAGTGGTATAAATAATGTTTTGTGTATTTCAGTAACTATACATTGTGGTCAAGCGGTATTTGTAATATTTTGTATATTTCAGTAACTATACATTCTGGTCAAGTCGTATTTGTAATATTTTATATATTTCAGTAACTATACATTGTGGTTAAGTGGTATAAATAAGGTTTTGTTAATTTCAGTAACTATACATTGTGGTTAATTGGTATAAATAATGTTTTGTTAATTTCAGTAACTATACATTGTGGTTAAGTGGTATAAATAATGTTTTGTTAATTTCAGTAACTATACATTGTCGTCAATTCGTAATTGTAATGTTTTGTATATTTCAGTAACTACACACATTGTGGTCAAGCGGTATTTGTTTTGTAAAATTCAGTGGTATATATCATTTTTGTCAATTTCAGTAACTATACATTGTGGTCGAAGTGATACAAGCATTGTAAATATCACGTATTATGGAGATATTAATATGATGTTTATAGAAGATAAATATGAAGAATGTAGCTCTGAGGAAATTTCACCGGCACATCATGTTATTTACAATATCAACGGTCGAGATTGTGGATTCCAAGTTAGTATAGCTTTATGTGATATTGTACTGAAATTGATAATTTTAACTCAATGTCATGAATCTTTATTCTGTTATACGTGTATAACATCTATGTCGTCACTCCATTTCAGCAGATTGTGGATCCTTATTTTCGTCCAATACTACTTTTACCTGGCTTCATTGAAGGGGCCCATGGAAAGCGCTCTTGACCCGTCATCAAAACCCTTCAATTGGACTATTTTTTTGAATTAATGAATTTGTATTTGATCATTTCGTTTCTGAAGGAATTTAACAACACTAATACGTGGGCAGTAACAGTGAGATTACAGAAAGGGTTTTTGGTGACGGCAGCTGATAAGAAGGTAAATTTGGTGTGTGCTTATGATGATGATGTAGCTGGTGGTACAATAATTAACTCTACTTACGACCCGGTCCAACCACAGCAAATGAACAAAATCAATACAGAAAATGTTATGTAAGTTTGGATGAGTTTTCGTTTTTGTTGCAATATCTTCGCGGAGAATGATTGCAGGATATCTCAATCACAAATGTCCTGATTAGAATACATTCCTTGACCTGGTTTACTTTACTTAATCTGGAGCTGGCAACATCGACCAATGACATTGTCTATCAGTGTAATATTCAAGGTTAAAATTCTGTAAAATTTGTCAAGACGAGTTTGTTGCGCTTTAATGTAAAAGTTTAGCATCCCACAGAGCTTGGAAAGGTGGTATTAGAACTTCAGGGATCTGCTAAGGAAATTCATGTGAATATAACCAAAAGCTGATACATCTCTAGCAGGAATATAGTCATCAACTTATTTGCCTTAAGTTGATAGAACCCAATCTTGCTACACAAATACCTTTCAGAACAAAAGCCCATATCGGTTTAGTCCACAGTCATTAAAAAAACAACAACTGGATGCAGCAACAATTGATCCAAATTTTCCGAAATTCCGGCAATTCTTTCTAACGTATATGCAAACTATCATCTAACAAAGGTAATTGTAAGATAACTATACACCTTCAGGGCCAAAACTCAACTTACGTACTGCAAATTGAATAAAAAAAACAAAAACAGCAGATGGTGAAATTCTAATATTTTGAACAATCAGCAGAGCTATATTGTGTACAAACAGAATCGCTGGTAGTTTCTTTAAAGTTGGCTGTTGATTGAAGACCAGATCCGGTGATAAGATTTCTCAAATTACAGTAGTTGGTGCTATGATCCAAAACAGCATACCAAGTTTCTGAAGTACTGAACCCATGAACTTTACATACGTTGCTACTCTGGGTGAAAGAGAAGGTCAAGTCATCCTTGTAATGTTTCTTTGGTGTTTCGTGGGTAGCTGTGACTTTCATTCCGGAGTCGGAAACCAGACTGTACAGACATTTCTCACCACCATTAGCACATCCGGCAGGTCCATTCAATGCCTTGATTTGGTCTGTTATTTTGGTTTTAACATCTGCGCATTGACCAGCTACTTCCCAATCCACTTTACATGAAGCATGGAATGGCATAGATAATACGCCTGACGTGGCACAGACAAAGAGCACAAAACTTAATCCGATCATGATGAGCGAAAATTTGGTTTCTAACTGAGCAAAAAATAGCTTAAAGGTTAATTTATTATAAAATTCTTATCTGTTTCGAAGTTAAACGTGGGAATGCGACATGTTTTCTGGTCTTTGTTTTTTTTATCTATAATTTCGAACCTTTTGACCTCTATTATATGTGTGTTAGAATAAAATTGACGATTCAGTGCCTCAATACATCATTTTAGCTGACTCATAAATGAATAAGCGTCCCTTTACAAAATAATACAAACCGTACCTGCAGTTGTCGACAGTGAACCGACTGTCAATGGAAGCTCAAATGTAATTACAGCCCTACGTATATTTTTTTCTGGATTTTTATTCTTATCGAAATGTTTTTTTACTTGGTAGCAATGAATTGACATCTTTCATTTGCCCAGGAAGCTACCGAGTATATATTGTTTCAAAATCTTATTTTACATAATTTATCACCTAGGATCACCGCGATAACATCTATTCCTTTATTTTTAACAGTTTACAAAACGAAGCTAAAATTAAAGACACAATCATCAACGTTTTATCAGATATGATAGACGGACAAGCAAATGTTACTGTTGAAGTATTGGATAAAAATGGAGAGCCGGTGACTGTTCTTTATCCCGATCATGTTTTCCGTCTGAGAATTACTTTCCCAACCCTCTTAGGTAATAGTGTATTAAACCGAGTACGGTAGTAATTATATCATTCGCATTCAAAGATTCCTAGAGAATGGTGAAGAACCTCAGATTATGCTAGTCTCCTAGGTCTTTTCTCAACCTATTATCGATAAGATCTCGTGTACAAAAGATCCCTTAGAATAAGCATTGAGACGGTTGTCGCTATCTAGGCAGGAAATGCTCTGTACTGGAACACCACTCTGCGACTGGATTATTGTTATAAAGAAATCAGAAAATCAATTGTCGTGGCTGCTGTGGCGTTTCATATAATTGTAACGGACTTAAGGTCCAGCATATATTACGATAAGTTAGTAATGCAAATTACTAATTAAATTAATATATTCTTTCAGCCACGTTGTTTGTATTTTTAGCTTCATCTTTCAATTCACCCATAGTAAAAGAATGTATGTTTAGTAGTTCATCTGAGGAAAACCTAGCGTACCTCATTAATAATGGGTAAATATTGTTCTTTTCGTTATCAACATGAGGGTATATGAGGCTCTCGTATTTTGACAAGAGTGACCTCGGATGGTCCATTCAGGTCCCTTGTAACCACTACTAATTTACTACTATTACGACCCCTGCCCTCGTGTATACGCTGTTCATAAACTTGCAAGTAAACGATGGACGGATTAGATTCCCCACTTTGTGTGTCTTCCGTATAAATGCAAATCTAAGGGCAAAAATACTTCAATTTATTTTTCCACAGAGAGGGATTTATTTTTACATTTTTTGGCCTTGTACATTCTGTTATTGTTAATTCTCTGAAAACTTATCTACATAACGGACGCAAATAAGTGTCAAATGATGCTGTATCATTACTTAAGCTGTATTGCAGACAGATCCCCTATATGGTCATCATTTTGATTCATTCAAGTTTGTTATTAAATTGGTATAATAATTCTATGAATATAATTGTAGGTGTGGAAATATTCGATTTACAAATGTTTTCAACCCAGTAGAAATTAACGAGGTCGAATCCGGGAGATTTTTGGCAGAAACTGCCGAATTCAAAATCCCGAAAATATGGTTACTGCAACATGATAGTGTATCTATATTTTGTAAAGTTATCATATGTAAAAAGTCATTACAATATTCACAAGTAAGTAATATGTTATCTGATGTATCATCACTAGGGTCTTTATCTGACGCATTATCACAACTGCATTTATCTTACTGTAACATATCTGATGTATCTTCGCTGATTTATCATCACCAGTATCTTTATCTGATATATCTTCATGGATGTTTATAATCACTAATGCATTGGTCCGTTTAATCATCACTGATGTATTTACCTTATATATCTTCGCTGCTGTATCTTATTCTTAACCAATGATGCATTTATCTGATGTATCATCAGTGGATGCATTTATCTAATATATCACCAGTGGATGCATTTATCTAATATATCATCACTAGATGCATTTATCGGATGTATCATCACTGATTTATTTATCTAATGTATCATCACTAGATGCATTTATCTGATCACTGATTTATTTATCTGCTTTTTACATTATTGGTGTGTTTATCTGATGTGTTCATCAATTTTCTGATTAATTTCAGTTATGCCCATTACCCATTGACATAAAAGCAGCAAAGAAAGGCGATATATTGAAGATAGATGGAAGGACACCAAACTTGACATTAAAGAGAATTTGGCTCCCTCCTATACTACCAGTGGTTGCCAGTAAGTTAGCTTCGTCAGTTTTCATACAACACACTCCTAGTCTATCTCGAAGAGAAAAAATATGCTTGCCACTGTTGCCATTCAAGAAACCATTATTTTGCTTTGAAAACTTCCTCATTTATGATTGATATACTTCCTCGTGAATATGAAAAGTGCATTAGCAGCAACCAATGTATTGGATTTTGAATTTCGTATTCCAGTTAGGATCGTCGGATATTTTCCCCTTTTACTATTGACAAATGTTAATATAAAATGTTCTTATTTGTAGATATGGAAAAACAAACCGGAACCACTGAGGAAAAATCCTGGAGTTATCTTCCATATCTGATAATTGCCATCGTTTTGTTTGTTCTTTTGATTGTCTTTACTGCCATCCTCTTTTGTGTCATTCGAGAACAGATCAAGGCAAACAAATCGAAAGAACCCGACACCATAAAGCGACTAGCTGCAGTAGATCCTACCCGTCCAATACTATGGCCAGTAGTTAAAAGTAATAACAAGAATTATCCCATTATCTCCAAAGTGGGTAAATCCTGGTTTAAGCGGCTCCAATCGCAACAAATTGCTGGAGTAGGATATCCTTGTCTGCCACCTACAAATTACCTTATACAGACTAATAACTCAAACCAAGCGTATCAACTCGTTAGTCAACCACTTCAATTTGTCAACCAAGATCCTAACCTTAACCCTCCTGTCCAAACCCAACATTATTTTGTAAATCAACCTGCACAGAACAGTAATTTTGGAAGTCAGCCTATTGTTGTAAATCAACCTACTAATCAACCCATCCAAAGGTCTAATTCAATTCAAAGTAATATAGGAATTCAGCCTTACCTAAGTAATACTAGTATATATCCACAACAAAATCCTCTCAGTAGCCAAACCGGTCAATTTAGTGTTGGAAACATGATATTCCATGCTGATGCCAGGGCTCAGCCTTTACAAACCAATGATGGTACTCTGCCTCCAAACGTCAATAAGCCTATCCAAGTTTCAAGACACAGCCCAGTCACACAACCTGTACAATTTGTCAACACTGGTTTTCCGCAACTAGCATCGGTATCTTCACCAGCTGGTGTTCAACGAAGAGTAATGCCGCAGCCGGTAATAATGAATCCACCACAGCCCGTGAACCCTATGCATGTAAACCGCCCGGTTCCCACTTATAACATCAGCCCACTACCAAGAGCTCAAAGTTACCCAACTCTTTCAAACGGATATGGAAACAATGTTATTTATGAAATATGGCCTCCCGATATGCCGAGACCGGTTCCTCTCGGATTTAGTGATTGGGTTGACGATAGGCATTATTATCCACCGCCTTGGTGGCCATCATACGACGATTATCCGGTGGATGATCCAAGATATTATGATCCAAATCCAAGATATTATGATCCATACCTATATCGAGATGTGTATGATGATCGATATAGAAGGCGGGGAGATTATCCAAATTGCTACAATAGACCATTAGCAAGAACCACGAGTTTGATAGATGTTATGGATTCAGTCCTCAACAATGATCGAAGAAGGAGACCCCGAAGAAGGTATTACTCTGATTTCGAATTGAATGTTCAACGTCCTCGAGAGAGACGCTATGAATATTACGAACCAGACAGACCCCGCTACCGATTGTCACGAAGTTAACTACATAATAAACGTTTCAAAATATTTTTTTATGACTGCTTCTTCTATCATCGATGATTAGAATTTTGAGCCCCTTGAAGCATTGTACTGGCATGGTTAACAACTTTGGATAGGGGACGGGTGGGTATCTTGCAACAATTTGTTGTATTAGCAATGCATTCAGGCATCATTTCTATTGTACAAAGGGTTCAGACGAAATATTGACCCTTTAGTTTGCTTAGGTGGGCTCGAGTTTACCAAGACTTTCACAATGTAGAAAAGGGGTAAGAAAGAGTCATGGGTTTGAAGTGATTTATTGGGGGTTTTCATTTGTCTTTGTATAATTGATATAATATAATCTGAAAGAGATGTAAGAATCATAGGAACCACGAGATGCAAATGATGCAAATAGAGATTATAATCTGGCCTGGTATAAAATAAATGTCAGATATTCTCATAAAAACCAAAGCGCATCAGATAAGATTGACTGGCATTGCAAGGCATCTCATCGCATCCGTTCAAGACGACATCAGCAAAAGCACATTTCGAAAATTTGACCAAATACAAACAGCTGCAATCAACTTAATGGTCAAAGATCCCGACCACACGAGTCGTTCGTCAGATTCTATAGAGTTTGAGGAACAAGCGACAACAATGGTGTTTCAGTTGTCTTCCAATTAGGGTGATTACATTTGCCAGGTCGACCTGAGTCCACCTTTACACATCGGACGTCTGAATTGTGTGTGAGCCAAACCATCAAAGAGTATAAATTTATCTATGTTAATCAGTGAATGACTTGGCAAATTTTATCTTGACTTTATCTGCTTTTTCTATTATCTTTTAAATAAGTTCCAGTATGAATGACTAATAGAATTAAGATGGTATGAAAAGAATGGAAATATTCTGCTTGACTTTATTGAATAAGATCGTTTGCCAGGCAAGTTAACATAAGTCCAACGATAGCTTTGTTTACACTATTACATTAGTCGGAACGACAACCATCACCAGAAAAACATCTTGAATTTATGATCGTACATTTTTTGGAGCTCAAAATTTATAACAAAAATTTGGGTTCATAACAACCGTCTTGTAAAAGCATTATCACTCAACAAACTCTGGTTGATCCTTTACCCTGTTAATCAACGGTTTTCAACCTTTTTTATTAAGAAAAAAAGAATATGAAAGGCCATGAATTGATATAGAGCGAAGAGCGAGACCATTAAGACTTTAAAACACTCTATATTTTTAAACAATAAATGTTTAGCTGACCATTGTAATGTCTATATTGATGCTTTAAGATAAAACAATAATAACAATTGTTATACTCATCAATTCCATTCTTTAAAGACTGTTTTCTCTTAAGATTATTCTTTCAAATTATAATCCTTTAGTCGCTCGAAACCACACTTGATAATCCGACTATACAGATCTTATACAGAATGCTCCTTCCATCATCTGAATTTGTAATAGACTGTTTTTAATCTAATCGTATGACACATCATGTAATAGAGTAGTTTTTCCAGTTAAAATTTTATTTGAAAATCGACTCAAAATTGGGCAAATTTTTAAGGTACTCCAATACACTTTAGGATTATATGCATATGTTTATGTACACACCAGAATTGATGATGATTAAAAAAAAATGGTTAAAAAACACATTTTCTTCAAATATGAACTGGGTTCCAAAATTGTAATTGAACCAAAAAGAAATGTAATAGATGTTCTGTTCCTATTAAGATTCATCATGCAGAGACAATGCTGGTCGTTCAATATCTGTATCTGAGCTATAATTGTTCCTGGTATACTCCAGGTAACCATTAAATAACGTGGTTTCTTCAATACCAAGAAGAAATGATGGGGGAAACTAGTCAGAATTATTCGGATTACTAAAGTCCATTAAAATATGAAAATTAAAACTCCAATGTGATCTTAATGGGTCGTACTGGAAACATTTCAAACAAAACAATCATCGACACGGGAAGGCTTCCACAAAGGATGGCTACACGGGCTTGCTCTGGACGACTATATAATACGTTGGTAAAGTTCTCTGTAATAATATGGACTTGTGTCTATGTGATACGCGGTGAATTGCCAATAAGTAAGTATATCGTCTGGTTTCTTATTTTATGAGAACGGATTTTTCAGAAGAGATAAATTTTCTTTGTCAATTTTTAAAATGCGTCATATAGGTTTTGAGAATATTACTTTTGCTATAGGGGTTGTAAAGAGGTTTTTCTCAAAAAATTATGTGTATCGGGAACACTGATAGCATCAACTAAGTGTTTTATGTCGTCACTAATCGTGAAGGGCTCTATGTGATAAAGCATATTTTGCGATTAGTGACGTCATCAAACATTTAGTTTTAGTGGAATTGCAGGAACCGCGGACGTCTGATTGCAAATTGATATTTGCAAACTGATGCTATCATTGTCCCCGATACACAATAATTTTTTTTAGAAAACCTCTTTACAATCCCTTTATATTTTGATATAAGATAGAAGGCTCAGGGGTCGATTTCATTTTTCATTTTTTGTCAACTTCAACATGGCAATGATAATAATACTAATAATAAAATATTGATGATGATGATGATGATGATGATGATGATGATCAAGTTTCAGATTATGGCAGTCTTGTGATTGCCTGTGTGTTGTTCTCCGTTCCGGGAATCCGTTCGAATTGTGAAGAACCACCACCTGTTCCTAATGCAATCCGTCAAGGTCAATGGCAAGGTGGTGATGTCAGCTATTCCTGTTATCCTCACCATGTATTAGTCAGTGGTGATTTATATAGATGTTGTGAAGAAGATATATATGATGGAGATGAACCCAAGTGTGTATGTAAGTAATTGTAATATGTATTTAGTGATGCTTATAATAAAAATCCGTCCATCAAAAATCTCGTCCAAAGAATGGCAAAATCGAGAGTAAAAGCTATAAAATAATGAACTCCTCCAAAGAGAAGTACCATCGGGTTTTTCGAAAAGAGTATAAGCATGGTCTGTTTCGCGCTAGCCACAATTATAGTAGTCAAAACCAGGCTATACAACCAGATCAATTCATGCCTGACCAAACAAATCAGTCAAAATGCAAGAAATAGGTTTATTGTATTTATCAAGGAGTTCTGCATAACGACTGTAATATTTCCTATATGATATTGGAAGTTTGTAACCCTGTTTCAGTAATTTCAAAGTTAATACTCGACATCTAGCACATTGCATCTTGCACAAAACTGTCCTGTGAAACAGAATTAAACGTTATTTTAAACGAGTATCTGAGCAATTAACATTTCCTTAATAACATGCAATCGTCCAGTTCGGCTAAAATGGACTAAGATAAAAACAACTTAATTGTAAACGATCCCGTGTGATTGATATAAAACTCGGTTTTTGTCTACGAAGTAAGAGGAACCAAAGAACAAATACAGATAAGCATCAAAACACAGAATCGTCTAGACAAACAATGCAGCACACGTTTCAGATAAATGCTCCATACATCCGGTTTCATCCTCCATTCCAAGACTTATTATTGAAAGGCACATTTACGTAAGCAATATTATTGAAATTATAGATGATTGTGGTGCACCACGAACAATTCCTGGAACCCTATATTCACTCGGATCAACGTTACAAGGGTCTACAATAAGTTACGACTGTGATTTTCCACATGAAGAGTTTGGCTCCAACTCACCAGATGTTCAATGTGATGAAGAAACCAAACAATGGACTCATACGCAATTCATGTGCTATGATAGTAAGTGTGGACTTTCTTATTTGATCTGTAACTGAGTTTTATACTCGTGGTAACGACTGTATGAACGTCAACATGCTAAACATCAATGTTAATTATATGTTTCAATACTGACATTGATGTTCCTTGTGTATGTTTGTCGAATGACAGACCACATATGCAACCAATCCATTTAGTAAATGTGGAAGAAAGAAGGAAAGAAACAACTATATTTTACAAGGATAACAAGTAAGCTGACAATTAAGGATTTTATATCCCAGCTGATCCTTGACCATACCTCTTACCGTTGATCTTTCCCGGATTATCCGTACCCATTACTGCTGGGTCGTAAGGAAGGAAATTGAGTGAAGATGACTTCTTCAAGGTTATTTGACTTGCACACGCCGACCGAGATAAGAATTCACAGCCGCCATTTGTTCGATGTAATCAATTAATAATAATTAAATTTTTTTATTGACATAAATTGAAAGCCAGTGATGTAGGGCGATCTTGAGAAATCAGTATCTTTCTGATAAAACTAGTTTATCAATTTCAGCAAGCTCTGCTAATTTAGCACTCAATAAACCAGCTCTTCACAATGGTAATTCTGCCAGTTATCTGGTGGACGGGTCGGACTCAACGTGTAACACTGTAATATCAGATCACCATTTGATTGAAATAGACCTTGGTCAGGTAGTGAACGTCATTAAATTGGAAATTATCATTGGAAACGGTGAGTATTGCAAATACATATCAGAAGCACACGTGAGCTGGTTCGTCAAAATCTCCCCTTGAAGTAGCTTTTCTGCAATCATCAGTTGCGTATGGTCCCGAATAAAAATAGTTATCGTACGTTCCTATCGCAACGCACATACAACTAATCAGTTTTATAGTTAGTGATCGCAGACATATATAAAGTAAGGTTGCCTTCAAAACATAACGATCACCAGTTGTGTATGGTTCCGAATAAAAAAAGTGATCCTAAATTCCTATCGCAACGCAGATGTAATTAATCTTTTAATATTTTGAGGATGCACGCTGGTGATCACAGAAGCCCACAGAGTGAGGGGGCTCACAATTTTGTACATTTCCTACGACAATAACCCGAATTTGGTATTCCTCTTTTGCAAATTTGCATAATATTTTTTATATGTCCTTTTCAGAACTACCATTGGTGAATGTATCAGTGTTAAATTCCAATAATAATATATTATCAACATGTAAGATATCGTTAACATCAATTCCGCCTTGGACACCAACTACTTTGCACTGTAACCCTACTTACAGCACCAGGGCTCCGGGAGACATACTATACGTAGCGGCTAAGTTATTGTCTCCCATGCAGATGTCGTTTTGTGAAATGAAAGTAACAGCTACAAATTATTATGGTAAGTCCATCTTAACAATGTCAATTAAACTTCGTCTAATACTTTGACTGTCATTGCCACCTTTCTGGTATGACAGAAAGTTTATAAATGCAGTGATTTGATTGGATTGTACGCTAGAGAATACATCAATAGAAAGTATTTTATGAAGAGAGGTGAAACTTGTGGTTCATTAAAGGTAAAAAAGGCCCAAATACTATTTATCCAGTGATACCGAGAGTTTAGGGGTTCATGGAATGAACAAAAAAACAAGTAGGCATAGTAACGATCTGAACTGTAAAACGAAACTTGAAATCCAAAACTATTGTTTGGCATTACATTGGAAGCAATGATCTTTTCATATGAGGAAATTTTGAAATGAGAATGCATTGTTTATCCAACAACAACCCTGTTGATCTTCTTAATTTCAGAATTTGTTTTCATCCTTTTCTTCTCTGTATTTCTTGTTGTTTTGCAGGTGATTGTGGTAAACCGCCCACACAACCCGGTCAAGAAGCATCGTATACCACAACAGGGGAAAACAGTATAGCTACAATCTCGTGCGTGTCACCGTGGCATGCCAAGTCTGGTTCTAATTCTATCGTCTGTCACCTAACACAATGGTCGCAATCGAGTTTAGAATGTACATGTAAGTATCCATTCCACATACATTGGGGACATTATCGTTGGTGAAAGGGTGGAATTGATTGCAATCTTTTCGAGAACTGGAAGGCATTTTGGTCAAATAAAAGAATCATATCAAAAGTAACAAGTTGATATTTTTGAAAACATTATTGGTCTTAATATCTAAGCGATCGTAAAGAATATAATCAATATCGGCTTCTTTCACCAACAAAAAGAGTTTCATGTATATCTTCAAGTGAGCGGTCCGCGAAATTTTGGTAAAGTTGAATCCTGAATAGAAATGTAACGTAAATACTCCCTATGCACTCCCCTCGGTGGTGTAATTTAATGGCCCTCTAGTATAAAATCTGCGCATGACGCCGGGGCGCTCGGATGGTCGCCCTTGTAAATGAAATCCTCGCTACGTCACTATACATAATAATCTAATGGCTGGTAATCTTGTTTGTTTACCCACACTGTTTCAGTGGAAAGTAATATAGCAGAGAATGCAGTTGCTATGAACGTTGATGGAGAAGCGGCATTAGATAATGATATATCAACATGTTATACCGGTTTGAATAATGGCATAAATAACCCTAATTGGCAAATCGATCTGTTGGCACTTTATTCAATATCCAGTATATCTGTAACATTTGGAGGTAGGCATATAATAATTCTTTATAACAAGTAATATCCATTTCCATGCTCTGATACAGCAACGATCCTGTTAGCTGAATTTAAAGTTCCATTAGTACGTCAGTGTGGTGTAATTTCGCATCCGTTCTTCATTCAAATGGTGGAGGCCCATAGCCAGGATTGATTGTTTGTTGCACTACATCCCGAGGGGCAATGGTGTAAGGTGTTTAGTTGCAGAAGTGGAATTCAGAATTCTTTTGATTAGGACAACCCATTGTTCGGGGAGCTTGTCCATCCTGAAGCTTCGAACCTTGGAGATATTTTTGTCTTTCAGTTAACGGTATGAACATAGCTCATTATATCAAAATATCCGACGACAATGGTGGTACAAGGTATTGTCAACCTGAATATCCTCGTGATGGTGTAACTCTCTTTGACTGCCCACAGGGACCTGTTGGTAAATACATTAATATGACTGCAGCATGGCCTATTCATATCTGTGATGTCAAAGTTCATGGAATGCTACATCAAGGCGGTGAGTAATCTTAAATATTTCATAATGACATTATTGACTTCAAAGTGCATTGAAGCAAATCAACCACTGCATGGAAAGGAAAAAAAAGGATGATCAGATATTTTTCTAATATAGAACTATTTTCCAAGTTTTTACTATTCGAAGCGTGTCCACCTGTCGCAAAATCATAGACGGTTGTGCTCCATTTGATCATAGTGGGGTAGCTGAATTGTCGAAGGTGTCACAGGCCGTTTTTCACTGTGTAAAATGATAAGCAATTTCAGAGCAGGGCTTAAAGGCCAACTACACCAGTCCCCCTCTTCCCTCGCCATAGAAACGCCAAAGTGGCAAGACAGGATCTCTACTCAAAGACGCTAAAATAATTTAGATCTAGTGGTTTGTTGTGTATTGCTTGCAATCTATCTTTCTGTTACATTGACTGATTTCGTTACCGATAGAGACTTATTTTTCAGTTCTGGATTGCTCCATGGACTCCCAAGGAAGGGATTACAAAGGTTATCAAACAGTCACAGTTTTTGGTAAAACTTGTTTACCTTGGTTGATAAACTCCTCCTTTACCGCGTGGCTTTTTCCTGATGTGGTCGCAAGTAATGTGGCGAATCACTGTAGAAATCCCCAAACATTCGAGAAAGAAAGACCTTGGTGTTTAGTATCTCAAACAGAGTGGGAATTATGTCCTGTTTTTGAATGCTGTAAGTATCCTTAAGAATAAATTGGACAAAGGCATTTGGTTGGTTGGTTGGTTGGTTGAACTAATTGGTATATAGTTTGATAGAATGGCAGGGAACATCCGCCTCCAGCTCAAGCTGTTTTGGATACTTACGAAGAGCAGCAATTTGTCGGCCTTGACTTTGTAGTACCGGAACAAGGGTGACTACTGAATATACAGTATTAATTATAATCAGAAGTTTTTTAATGAACAACTTGAAAAAAAAGTACACTATTGCATCATTATTTCCCTTAGCATCATCAACATCATTCAGCAACTCTCGGTAGCTTCTGAAAGATGTATATGACGCTGAACAACTTCATAGTACGCTACTTGCGCCAATGTCACTATCAATGGATTGCATTTCAAAGAAGATGGCATTTTCTTTACTTATAATAATTTTATAGCGAGAAATAATCTCTGAACGTATACAAACATGACTGATTCAACTTTTCAGCAAGCTTCTGTAAGACTACCACCGACGGCTTTCAATATGATGGCGAAGTATCGTTTGCTGTGTCTAATAAGACTTGTGAGATGTGGAGAAAATCGAGGTTTCGACATGATTTTTCTGGTAATGTTCAACATTGTCAAAATACCTACAAAGACCAAACACAACCATGGTGTATAACAGATTTAGCAACCAATACCTACGAGTTCTGTCTTATACCAGATTGTCGTAAGTGACAAATTAACCAAGGATTTTGAAAAAAATCGCCATCTCTATTATGGAAATATTTATTCTAACTTTTTCATATTCATGGGGCGCATTCGAAACTATGGTGTCCAACAAGTCAGACAGTGGCTCAACTTGAAGATCTTTAACTAAAACTTTGTTTTAACATAATGCTTTCCTGCATTCTTTTACTGGAGGTGGGTCCCACTTTTGGTTGGGGCGTGGACAGCCAGACTTATGTAGTCGGAATGTGTACCTCGTTTCTTAAGGACTATAAAGTAATTGTACAAACAAACGATTGTACGTATACATTGCTCTTATCTGTTGACATATATTTCAGCAAAAACAGTTCCTCCAACAATTACTGTAAGTGAGAATAGCACTGGTTTTGATTATGAGAACGAGCTGCAGACATGTATGCACTGGTCACCTTTCCCGTTTATGGCACCATGGAATCCACTGCATATACATTTGGATTACAGAGGAACTATACTCAACAGTTTCTGTCCATGGTCTGGTATGCCCATCATCAGACTGTTTTGTATTCGCCACAATTTACAACTTACGTTTCTTGACTTCATATGTGGTATGTTGATTGCCAATATCATTTATAAAACTTTTAGCATAAAAAGATGAATTATGCTATATCTACATCTTCAGAAATGTAAGAAATTTGGGAGAAGTAGAAACTGCTACTTGTTTTTATAAATCTGGTGTTTCATTTCAGATCCTGGTGCTCTTGCAGTGGAAAATACAGAATCATCTATAAGCAGCTTCTTTGAAACTACTGTTGCGTTATCCTCTGCAAGTCCCTCAGTATTGACCATTGATTCCTCGGACATGACGTCCTTCACATTTACAGACCAAACCTTACTTTCAGAAGCGATATCTATGTTCGAAACATCCTCCGACAATCTTCAAGAAAGCACGGATGTTTCACTGTCGGACTCTTTGAGTGAAATTCAATCTAGCACTTTAATAGATATTCAACCAAGCACTACAATTGAGTTGCTTTCCATCACTGATGCTTTGAGTTATTACATCACTACATCCTCTGTGGCAAGTACTCATCAGCTAAACACAGACACTATTCTAGAACCAAGCTCCCAAGATAGCACAACTCTTCAACCAAGTGCTTTCCCATTGACTGATTCAGTTTCAGAAAGCAGTCCTTTGGTAACATCAGCGTCCAGTTTTCTAACCAATGTCACAATTTCACGATGCCCGTGCTTGTGTAACAATAATCCATTTTGGGATGAAGCTAAAATAAAAGTGTACAAGCTTCGACTTTTTGAATTGTTGCACTTGGATAAACGGAACTTATCAAGTACTTATAGGAAGAAGAATTGTATCCGAGACAACAGACCGTTGGCAATTGCAACTGGTGGTGTTGGTGTTACGGTTATTATCTGTGTGTTTCTATATTTAGCTTCTAGTGATGTTTATTTAGTATATAATCAAGTTATTAGAATACTCAAAACGTGACCTCTAGATCCCTAATTTCTAGGTAACAAGGAATCATCGAGTACCACCGGGGGCATTATGAGTTCTCTTAGAGAATATATCATTACGTCAGCGAAGGATTAAACCCAATAATCGACTGTACGAACGCTTTTCGATTTTTAAGCAAATTATTCAGCCTTTCGCTTGCGATAACCCCATTGTAGTAATTACGACAAATAATTCATATGGGCTAAAATATCGCAAAAAAAAAAAACCTCATTTGTGGTTCCCAAATGGATTTATAACGACAAAAGTCAATTTTTGTATTAAGTATTGTACATGAAAAATGAAAGTGTATTTAAACCTTTTTTTGGATTATAAGAAAACGGCAATAAAGGGGTTTTGAAAATGTTTTCTAACCTTTTTTATGTTGAATCCTTTATAAACCATTACATATATATATCTTTTAATTTACTTTCTTCTTATATATCTCACACATCTTCTGAAATACATACACTCCAAAATTTTAAAATTGACATGATTGGATTTGCATAGGTCATTTAAATTTGACCTTTGATTAATATACAGCGTCTATTGGATAAATGCTTCTAAACTAAGGGTATCTTGGTTTTGCATTTAGGCGCTCGTATTGTACTGCAATTCACACGATTATTACTCTTGCTCCATTTTATCGGACTAAAAGTAACCGAACTGGGATAATTTACTATAGGCTTTAGACACTGCTTAAACAAAATATTTAAGAAAGAATGCCAGATTTTTCAACAAAATGCATTGAGTTGGAACTTGGATTTCAATAGCCTATTCAGATGATATGGCTTCATCTTGTACAACGGTAAATATCCAAATCAATTAAGCGTAATGTAAAGTTAATATTCAAATATTTCTATCTGTTCGATGTTATAGTGGTGTATAAACTGCATTGGCTTCGCCTTAATCTTGCCGCCATGGTCAATTGATGACTTTCATTGATCTTTTAATCCATTATCCATTCCGATTAATCCTAACTTAATCTTCTAATCGCAATCATAACTAATCAAAATCAATCAAGAAATCAAAGAAAGCGACAATTGGAAAGGATACTATATATATGGATGGGTTGATCATCACTCATTATAACGTTATCAGCTATTACTATTACTTCTTACTATTCCATCTTACTATTAAAAATGGCTAGTTCTCATCAGTTGTCTCCCCGTACACCCGCGGATGGTTGTGAAAGCCTAGAATACACCGATACCGACATCTTGGAATATTCTTTTGAAGACATTGTTCCTTATATTAAAATAGTGGTAAGTATTTTTAAGAGGTTTTCCCTTTATAGTTATATTTATTTAATTTAGAGCCAAAAAGTGATCAGTAACAAGTAACAAGTCGCTTATTTCTGGTAAGGTCCAACTATGAAATTCATTAGAGAAAGGATCGACCGAAAGGGAAAAATATCATTCTATCACAAGTAGTAAATAGCATTGGACTGAAAGTGCAAATGACAGAAGTAATACAGTTAGATCAATGGTGGTTGTCTGCTGTATCACCTACAAAAAAAGGGCCAATTACTATTGGGAAATTTGAATGTGTTCTTCCTCTAAATACATTATTTATCCTTTCAGCACATTAAGAATGCTACAACATATATGGAAGATAGCCATGACAAGAAAGCACACCTATCAAAGAAAATGCACGACCTCTCTGTAAAACAAGCTGCTCTGAAGAAAAAAGATTCTGCTCTGTATGAAAAACATAGACAGATAAAGAAACGTTTACATGACTTTTTGAATACCACCGATGTACAGACGAAATTAAAGAAATCCAAGTCATTTAGTCAAATCCAGAAAGTTTTAACCCAATGTGCTGCACCTTTTAAACTTGTGACAATACTGAAGAATGGTAAAAAATGTACATTTTGTTAATGTGATTATAACTCATTGTTGATTTTTCTATTTTTGTTGATTTATACACTTGTTGATTTGAATTAAAGTTAAGTTCAATCGTTGTTCTTTTTATTGCAAAATATTTTCTGTTAGCTTGTACAGGTTTGAAATGGAGGATATTGTATGACCCCTGTCCAAAACCTCACCAATAATAACCCGAGTGGTGAATACGTTCGCGGATTTGTAATAATTGTCTGTTTACACACGTGACAAAGTTTTAAAACACAACATGTTTTATTGAAATTGTTGAAGAGGCCCTTGGTGATTGCTGGTTCATTGATAGTCCTGGTTAGGAACCAAGTTTCTTGTGGTTCAGACCATACTTCCCTTAGAGGCCACGAAGTTTCGAATGCACAGCACTTGTCTTAGCATATACATTAAGATAGGGCCAGGTCAGTATGTACAAGGGGCAAGCCAACCCTCACCCCCACCCGAAAAATAGATTGCACCCATGAAAAAAATTTGAATTAAAATTACTGCTATTGATCCCCATTGCTCCTCCGGATATATGACTTGCCCCCAAAATAATCAAGTCTGACTCGGGTTGGATCGGCCAATCAATTTGGTGAAATAATTCCAGACCATGAAATAAGAACAATATAAAATAATTGCACTGTTGGTCCTTTAATCCAAGGGGTTGATGAAAACTTTACATTACAATTGGTAAAAAATCTGATATCACAATATTTAACAACATAATTAATATATCTATCTAGGATAGATTAGAGACAAGTTAAAAAAACAAACATACAATATCTAATATGGAAGAGGATATAGTATTTCCATCGTACCAAATCCAATCCTAATAAAATCTACATCCAGACATAATGGTAAAAAAGTTCCAAATTAATCCATTAAAATTGATAAAAGAGACTCTTACGATATCTATAATGTAATTTGAGATGCAAGGCAACTCTTTCTAACTTTGAACAAAAGTCCATGCGTCTACGTTGTGATTTAGATATTTCATTAAAGGGACAGATGTGCCGTTTTGAGGGGTTGATTTTAGTCTTGAATATATGTTAATAGTTTTCAGAAGTATTACAAATGTACGAAAATCGCATAATTCCTTTAAAAATACTTCAAACTAGGAATTTTACTCACTATTTCTATATATGTCTACTATATATCACAAAGTATCTTAAATTGTCGATTTGTCATTTTAATATTCAAACGCAGATAATCCTGGACACACATGGATTTGAAGGCTAAAATTTTGATGGTTATGTGTTAACACTGATTGGCTTAGCTAAAAAATTCCCGTTTCTGAGACTAAAGTACGATTGGTCAGAACGAACGGTGCACATGTCCCTTTAACATATTACAAGTACAATCAATATTGTATAAAAAAATTAATTTGATAACTGAAAATAATGGTCCTCCCTAAATTACTTCACCAAAAGTTTCGATTTGAGCTAGGAAATTGACATACACGGTCAATTTGAATCATTCCATTTCCCCACATGAAGCTGCTTAAATATATCTGATTCATGACATCATCAAACATGATACCATATCATACTTCCTGTTGTGAGAGCTTGTTTTACACAGTACACAGATGTTTCTGATATAAACCCGACACCAGGATAGCTGGTAGTGGAATGCAGACTTAATTGACTAATATGTTAGACTCACTACTATACAGGAGACAAAAGATAAAATCTTAAAAGTCATAGATGTTGAAACCAAAAACCCTTATCAATAAATAGATGGGACAGTTTATCCAAATAGCTTCATATGAGTAACTTGTGGATTGAGAAAGGTTGCCTACACTCATATATTATCTTGCATTTTTCACATGTTTACATATATACAAAACAAAACCTATAAATGGCTACATGCCGGAGTGTTGATTAACTGATTCAAAAAACGTGTAAAATCATGAATATTTAATATTATGGTTTAAAATATGAGTCTTACCTACTAATCAGAGTAGAAGTTGTTTTTGGAAGGGTGAAAGGGTCAAAGAGGCAATGCCTACAAGTTTAAATGACAAACTGGCAAACTCATTGAACAGGAGCCAAAATATCTTAATCTTTTTTCCTAAAAACTGTATATCATGACATGACATTTGTGACATGAAATTTTGCCTCAATATTTCTCAACAAAATTAACAATTTATGGAACATTTACATTTTGATGACAAATTAAAAAAAGTTCAGAAAAACATATTTTTTGTAAGGATCCTTTTGTTTGACTTTGTTCATTAAAATGGTAAAAAAAAATGTACAAATGGTTATATAATAGAAGAAAAAGCAGATATTACATAATGAACACAATTCGGAGAAAAACAGTTCGAGATATATTTAAAAAGAAGCAAAAAATATTTGATACATACAAATTTACACCAAGAAGTATCCATTTTAGGTTAAAGGGTCAGGTGCACTATTTTTGGGAGGTTGATTTTAATCTTATGGAAATATATGTAAATAGTCTCCAGAAGTACACAAAAAATCACGTAATTCCTTTAAAAATACTTCAAACTAGGAATTTTACTCACTATTTCTATATATGTCTTTTTTGTATATATCACAGAGTATCTTAAATTGACGAGTCATCATTTTAACATTCAAACGCAGATAATTCTGGACACTCATGGATTTGAAGGCTCAAATTCAACGTTGAGCTTTGACCACTATATCTGATTGGCTTGGCTAAAAAATTCCTGTTTCTGAGACTAAAGCATGATTGGTGAAAATAATGGTACACCTGTCCCTTTAGGGAATTGAAAGGTACATCTTGTTTTAAAATAACTGGAGCCAAACCACTTACTTAATTCCAAAATATCCATTACATTTGTGAAATTTTTAAGAAATTGCATTTCAATCCAAAACTGTGTTTTGTTGATTGTCTTTCATATAAGACATTTTAGCAGTAAAAACATGGAAAAAAATATTCCTCATATTGCTTCAAAATTTACAGTTTGCTGGCATAAATGAATGGATTTGTTCATGTTCACAATAGAATTACCAAAGGCTACAACCAATTAGTTATTTTGAAAGATTCACCAAAATTTGTTGGCAACAAATACCAACCACTCAGTAAACCGAAAGATATTTAGCTAAATAACAGATTTGCCAATATCATTCACAGAGCTTAAAATTTCTTACCAAAATAATATATACAACATATTTATATAATATTAATAGTACCAAATTCTAAGTCAATTTTTAAGCAGTTAGGTCATTTTGGTGCAGTTGAGTGGTTGGAATTTTATACCAACCCAACTTACTTTTCACATACAAGCAAAGGACACCAACCTTCTTTTAAGTAAGTATAAGATGTGGACATCCTTATAATTCGTTTAAAAATACAAAATATACAGATAAAACAGGGCTTATTCTTAGAATTCTCCTATGGACCATAGGTAGTCAGGGCACTGGCTTTCCTATTAAGCTATTAAGCAATATAAAAGTAAATGCCTACAGCCTATCAGTTTCAAGCTTTCAAGGGAACCCATGTAATATCCATTGTTGAAAATTGGTACTTGTTCACTAATAAATTTTGGACATCACCTAGGCTATGAATTTTCAATGACAAAAACAGGCTTGAAGAGTAAAAGTGGGTTTATACATTGATCTTAAAATATCAATATAATAGTCTAAAAGCAAGATTAAAACCAAATGGTATGGAGAAAAGAATTTTCAAATTCGAACTGTTTTTGAAAAAGTTATAACCACATTCCTTAAACAAGGATTACTCCATTTATAGACATTAATATGAAAATCAGTTCACCATAAATTTCTACAAATTAATAAATTACTGGCAATAACCAGATAGGACTAAGTCAAGATTCCTGTTACTATAAAGCTGGCACACACCCCCTTTAAAATCAGGCAGCATATTTGTGGGCATTTTCCAAGTACTTAAAACACAAATGAAATCAAATAGATTTTTGTCTCCCTTTAAGTTAAGAAGACCATCACTAACATTTTGAAGAATTAAGGAAGTCAAAATGTAGCCACAACTGGAGAGCACCAAGAATAAGCCCTGAAAAATAATTTATATATAGAAAATAAATGTATCACAACTTTAACTTGAACCTCCTTCTTGAGTCACAATCACTTGTATAACATTTCCTTTGGGTATTTTAGCATCTTCAATACGTAACTTATCACTGAGCAACTTGCCAGCAAAATACCACCTTTGTCTTAACACTTCCACTCCCTCTTCTTCAAAAATCCTTTTTTTCAATTTGAGCACAGAATCTGTAGTACGCACATAAAGTTTGATATCTTTGTTGGTTGTGGAAAGTCGGAATTTGATTGGAATTTCAATGCCAGGAGAGGAATTGGCATCAGTTTCTTGTCCAGTGTCACTTTCACTGAGTTCATCTATAAGATTTGTTGGAGCACTTAAAACATAAACAGGCAATTGATACCGATTTCCTAGTTCATCATAACAGTCCATTAATGTTCCTGAAAAAAAAAATCAACCTAAACATCAAACACCATAAATATCTTAGAAATTACACGGTAAGAATGACATAGACATAGAAAGATAGATATGAAAATTTTCTAACCTTGGGTCTCAAATCTATAATGCATTTATCTGATTACTGAAAATTTTCATTATATTTTTAAATTCAATCAACTTTAAGCTATGACATATATGGTGTCAAGAGCTATACAACTGTCTTGAAATCGTAAAGTAATCATTTTGATCAAAGACTGTTATTTCCTAAAGGAGCGCTTACCATGAGGCAATGATATGTTGGCGCCATCCACTATCGCTTGAGCCATAGCATGGTCACCTGTTTCTAGAGCATAAGCAGCTGCTTTTAAAGCATCCCATATTTCTTTTCTTCCTTCAAATGCTGGTGCAGTATCCCAAAATTCATCTCTTTTACTTCTTAACTGTCCATCTGTCAGAGCTATATCGCTTTTCCATTTTGGTTTCTCTGGTTTTAAGGGTTGGTTTCTTCCAATGGACACTGTAACAATATTCGATTTATCATTATGTTTTTCAAAATATTATGGTGGAATTAGCTTACAGTAATGAATCAAATTAAACACATTCTGCAGAGTTTTATTATATTCTTCCATGTATTCATGTGTTAAAATCAACAATGACATTGCAAAATGTAAGCTTATCAAGTTTGAGTTAAAAAAAAATTAATATAGGCAAAGTGTCTATGATGAAGTGACTGTGTACTGGTAGTGTCTAACAGTCCAAGAGCCATTATTTTCAGGAACCCAGTGAATAGGTTACCCAACTCTGTCTAAAAAGATAGACAGTTAAAAGTATTGAAAGATACATCTTCCAACAATTATATAAAGGCTTCAAATGTAATTTACACTATTGCCCAATAAATAAAGATAATAAAAAATGTAAACAAAACAAACAAACCTGTCATGTCAGAAGATTCGCCTGATGGTGGGCCATTATCTCTATGCGCCCCAATGCACCCTCCCATTCTGGGTGAGAGCTAGGGAAGCTAATTGTCTTTTGAAACCTGGAAATTTGGCAGAATCTAGTCTTTATTTTGCATCCATCGATTTATTATTTACTTCACCTTTTCCTTATAAAAATGACGTCAAACAATGGTTGCACTTTCATTGGGTGAAATTAATCTTTTTTTTTATTATTCCAATAATCTTTGAATATCTCTCTCGTAGTTATTTCCTTAAAATTATGTATTTGAATTAGAGATATTAAATATATCTTATATCATTATACTTCATTTTTCTATTATTTTCTTGTTCTTCTGCGGAGTATGTAAACAGGTGGGCTTTCTAAAAATTTGGGAATTCCGAATCCTGATGTAAAACGAAGAAGTTAGATATTTATCTTTTTTTCTCATTATTCTTATGCATACTCCCACCAGTATCATTTGATCATAACATGCTCTTGTAAGTTAGATACACCTACGTCTAGTAATTGTTAGATTTCGCTGAATACCGAAATACTTTAATTTCGTTTCAGAGTTATCTGAACAAAAACTTTGAAAAATCCAATATGTCAGCCACCATGTGGAAAGAATTTTGTAAACAATTTATTGAAGGACATAATGATATTATGCCCGAAGAAGTGCAAAAAGGTAGCAAATCATGAACATACACCATAGATTAGTCATAAATGACTCTACCGTTTACTATCACACAAGTGTTTCATAGCTGATAGTTGATAATGACTAATTCTGCATTCAAAATAGCCTCTACTTTCGCTTTTTAATCTGAAAAAGCAATTAAAGGCCTTGCCTGTGGTGAAAGTTTAGATGGGCTGCATCATTGATTATAAGTTTTGTACTGTTTTCCAAGGTGTTACAAGTTTTTAAGTTACCATTTTTTAAAGTCAAATATTGACAATACTTCTTTCAAATCCTGCTTAGCCTTGAGTTAGAGAAGTACACATTGAAAAATAAGGTTGATGATAATGAATATAACCGAGATTTCTTCAAAATTTACACCTTGTTTTATTTTTCAGAACTTTGTAATGGGCAGATCAAATTATTGGAATTTATGGAACATTTAGGGTAAGTTTTTTTTTTGTTATAAAAATATATTTAAGATAATCTTTCATTGGTTTGTTTGCAGTAACTAAAATTGAAACACATTATAATTTTTTATTACCGTATTGCTTACAGGCCTGAATTACAAAATAAAGACAACAGTGTAAGAGGCAGGGCCACCCAAATTGATAGGAGATGTACTACATTCTATACCTACAGATAATGACACTCTTTCTCAACAAGAGGGTAAGACTTCAAGCCAACATATTTTGACCTTAGAACAGTATACAAGCTTCAAAATAAAAGAGATATGGCTTTTTTGCTCCATCAGCTGAAAGAATTTTGGTTATCTATCCATGTCACTATTCAAATTTGAAATCTGACATCCAGTTCTCTCACTCACCAAAACGTGATACATATTGTGGAGAAGATAAAAATTATAAGGCTTTATCCTTTTAACCCTTTAAACCCTGAGTATGAATAAAATGAAATTTAGATCATATAAAGTCTTGTAGAAACTATTGACTTAATCATCTCTTGACTATGTTTTCAACAAAGTGGGTATTTATTTTATTTTTAGTGACTGTACTATGCAGATTTCTGTGTGATAAATTATCTGATCATCATTCTATACAACCACCAGCAATATATGGTTTATTAGCATTGGTAAGTTAGCTTTGAGCTCTTGAGTCCAAAATTCAGCTTAAAGCTAAGAGTTTATTGAATTGAAATCTG